TGATATATTTTCTGTATATGTTTTTATGCAGCTCATGGTATTTTTTATAACAAAGGATGTTTATGACAAATGACAAGCAGGTCCATTATAACATACAAAGAGTGCATGCTTGCCTATTATAGAATCAAAACCCATTTTAGATGTTTTAGATCAGAAGTTATTATTACAAGCACTCGATGATGATTTAAAGTGGGGTTTGAGCAAAAACATTAATTACATACATTTTGAACTGTAGCTTGATGCTATTGTACCTCTAATTATATTTTCTTGTAAGCATTATGGATAGTTTGTGTTTCTGATGAAGAACCAAAAGTTAATGCTGTATATTGAGCCGTGGACGATGTAAAAAGCCATATATATGATACAGTGATACATAGGCTACATGAGGAAAAAATGCATTGCTGGTCGGCGCTACCTAGCGTGCAGGCGTGAATTAGCAGAAGGCGATTAATTGTTTCGCACTCGGTGTGAAAGCAACGATCGTCGGCGATTCGGCTCGTTTTTTCGCATCGCGCTCAGTGTGAAACGGCCTTTAGTATGTTTTTTTTCCTTTGGAAGGGGCGTGTCTGCTGTGAGACTTCAAAGTAAATGACCACTGCTATGATTGGCTAACATCTTTGCATATGAAATGAGCATTAGATGTGGAACGCTATCAAAAACTATTTCTGCGTTTTTACTATAACAGCCACCAAGATGAATTAATTGTGAAAAGTGCTGCTGATTATAGCAATATATTTTATAGTACTACTCCCATTGTAGCCGAACGATTTCTGCAGTTTCACAAATACTTTCATCTTAACTAACAAGTGAAAACATAATGCAAATCTTGTTGACTCGTAGAACAGTAATTATAACAGGAGTTTTGGCAAAAATGCCAGATGGTCCTCACTGCAGAACACAAGATCCAGGGGGCGTGGTTGGATCCAGATCCAACTCCTCCGACCTTACATATACCTAAACCTACCCGTCTCCACCCCCTGATCCCTAAACCTACCAATCTCCACCCCTAGATGTGGCTCCAACCCCGCCCCCTGGATCTTTGTTCTGCAGTGAGAGGTTACTGAAAAATGCCGAAATCAAATCACTGATAGACTCACTGCTAGAACACACCTCCTTGATTACATATGACAATGACACATGTTAAAGAGCATGTCGAGGGATAATCATGATGTCACAATTCTCGATGTTAAATCATGGCTTCAGAAGGGTAGAAACTTGTTAATCAGTTTTGCATTTTGAAATTTACACTAACAATAAAATGATTCCAACAATGCAGAATTATATTATACATTTACTATAGTTTTTACCTGGTGTCCGTGACTCATCAGAATAGATCTGTGACCTATTTGGGGTTTGCAATACGTCAGGTGGACGGATGGATGTTTCAGGCCTAACTCTCACACTTAATTGAAATTCATGCGCATATGCATTCAAACACACACATGTGCATGTATATAAATATAACTACATGCGTTCAGCTTATATTCATAATAATTTACTTGACATGACATTTAAACGTAACAGGGCAACTTTGTCTGTCATTAAACACTCTCATCTGTATCAAACTTCAAAGGCTTGCAGGCACAAGCCTGCTGTCCCTTCACTCACTGACACCTCGGAAAAGTACATTGTGTGGAAATGATGGAATCTGTTGTTATTTGCAGCCCTATTACTCCTTCCTTTTCACAAGGCCTTCCTCGCTCTGTGCCCATGAAAATGTGGAGCTCCAGATGAGCTCATTTAGATAACAATGTTGTCAGAATACTGACATAGTAAGCAAATAAACTTGCTGTTCTCGTGTACAGCTCTGCACTAGTGGCCTCGAGGCCTATGTAAAATCATATGAATGCTGAGCAACTGCAGCCGATTTTTACTTTAAAAAAAAGAGTATTTATGACTAGCTAGCCTAGTCTCTTGGCATAAAATCAGTTTTGGCAGTGGAGACGAGAGGAGCTGTTCTTGGACCCAGTCCTAGCTGAGCGAAGTGGACGGTGGGCAGGTGTTAGGGAGCATTTTGACACCTTCAGGCTTAGCACCTAAAGGGGGTGCGTCTGAACTTGCACAAATACACACTCAGGCCACGTTCACACGACAACGATGTAGTCGAAAACAGAAAAGTTTTTCCCTTGTGTTTTTAAAAAGTTTCACGTATACACGTCAACGTTTTCAAAACGATTCGCGTTTACACATATCCACGAAAATGGCCAAAAATGCTGTATTACGTACAGTATGCCAGGCCAGTAGTTGGTGCTGTCACCTTGTGAGTAAACAGTAGGGAAGTGACGATTATATGTTGTATATGATGCGTCTCTGCTGTTGGTTGTAATATTGGTGAAATAAATCCACACTTTGCTGAAGAAGCGTTAGCAAACTCTTGAGCAGCAACAACAGTACCGTGTACTCCGCCATTGTTGTGTATGTTTGTTCACGCTTGCCTTTAAAATCGACACATACTGCGCATGTCTACATACCCGTTTTCAAAAATATGGGTTTTCAGTCCCAAAAACGTTGTTGTCATGTAAACGAACAGGCAAAACGTATAAAAAGTTTCCCGTTTTTGGCTGAAAACGTCATATAAACGGCACCTCAGATGTTTCTCTTACACGTGTGCACTAGAGCATCATATCTCTAGAGCATTAAATGCATCATATCGAGCATTTCATTCAGGATGTCACAAGCGTGTGTTCTGTAGGTTTGTGGGTGATTTTGTCCATGAGAGAGAGTGTGAAAACCAGAGTAAAAGTCAAATAGGCAGTGAATTTAAGAAACAGGAAGTGTGAAAAGTGTGTGTGATTTGAGCACTACTTTGCTGCTGCTTCTCTTACCCTTTGTATGTCATAGGATATCCGTTTCAACCTCACATAAAAATTTATATAAGAAATAGTCACATTTTAAGATATAAAGTCACAATTTAGATGTAAGGATATAAAACTACATTGAAAAAGAGCAGTTGTGGAATATGAAGTTGCAATTAATTTATTATTTTAATTAATAATTATTATTATTATTGTTAATTTACTTTAATTTTACGTTATTTTATTTTGTTTTATTTTTGCTGGCAAAAAAAAACATCATTGTCCAATAGTGTAGCAATGCATGAAGCACCACTCACACAGAAGCCACGTTTAAAGGTGTACTAAGCGATTTTTGCCAAACAATGTTGATATTTGAAAGCACCAAAACAAACACGCCCATAGCCCAACAGGACCTCGCACCTATTTTGATATCTCTGCCCCACACGTACGTACACAACCCTGGCATAACGACGATCGCGGAAAGAAGTGAAAGTGAAAGTGACATGACATGTGGCCAAGTATGGTGACCCATACTCGGAATTAGTGCTCTGCATTTATCCCATCCAAAGTGCACACACACAGCAGTGAACACACACACACCGTGAACACACACCCGGAGCGGTGGGCAGCCATTTTTTTTGGTGCGGCGCCCGGGGAGCAGTTGGGGGTTCGGTGCCTTGCTCAAGGGCACCTCAGTCGTGGTATTGAAGGTGGAAGAGAGCGCTGTACATTCACTCCCCCCACCTACAATCCCTGCCGGTACGAGACTCGAACCCACAGCCTTTGGGTTATGAGTCCGACTCTCTAACCATTAGGCCACGACTTCCCAAGCAAAGTCGATTCATGGATAAGTTCTGTGAAACAAAGCAAAATCAACATTACTCACCTATCAAGAAGAAACAACGCAGCCTCGGCTTCTGCTTCCAGGCCTTCCCGCTTCTTGAGTTCCGCTGGAAAGCTGCTCCGATATTTACACGGGTCCTACCTCTTGCCTGATCGTAAGCCTTCTTTTTAATGTTTTGTTCCTCTGATATTTTCCTCTTTTTATCTTCCAGTTCTCTCTATATATAGTCAATCTGCTAATATCCGTCCTGTGCACTCAAATTGAGCGCTCTCTTCTCTCTATCAGTACAAGACACGCCCCCTTACTGCTGATTGGCTACAAGTGTGTTTTGGGACCCAGTCCGACACTGCTAACAGAAGTGTTTTTCAAAATTGCTCAGTGCGCCTTTAAACTACTTTTTAAAACAAATGAGCTTGTACAGAAGTAAATCTGTGCATGGAACGTTTTTGCCCTCACTCGAATCTTCCGATTGCGCAGATTCCTATTATAATGACTGGATTTTGCCTCCAAAAAACCTTAAGACAGACCATTTTTATTACCTGTCTTTCACTTTTTTTTAATAAATAAGTTATATTTATGGACTTTTTATGCCTTTATTGTGAGAGGACAGGAAAGTATTGGCTGGAGAGGGGGGGAGCAGGATGGGCAAAGGAACTCAGGTTGCCGTGAGTTCTACATGTTGTGAGTGCTACATGTTGACGCACTAACCACGAGGCTATCGGTGCCAACTGCCTTTCACTTTTTAAGGGTGAACATTGCTTTTCTCTCTTTAACCTGAAAGATATTTGTGACAGAAATATCCAACAGAAAGTACCTTGAGCTGCCTTGATGGCTATTGGTGCAAAATGGACTTTTGTTTACTAGGCAGAAAACATCTTTTTGATAGTGTGTAGTCTGATATAAACTGTTCTACTTGAGAGAACATTTGTGCCGGCGATTTTTGTCAACATAAACAGCCCTTTCTTATCTGCCGTCAGACTGGCTCACTGACACTGAGATGCTGTTAACAAACGTTTCTGAATCGTACAGTCAGCCTTTCATCAGCTCTATTGTTTGAAGCAGATACTTTTTATTTCCACATACTGTTTTCATTTTAGTTCGTCCATCTGTCCATCCATCCATTTGTCAAAGTGCTCTGTTTGTTTTTTCTTATCTGTGTGACTGTTATGAATGATATATGGAGTGAGTCACGACTGCAATTCGGTTGTCCTGTGGCAGCGTGGAAGAAAAAAACAGCTTCTAACAATAACAATACATCCATATTACTCTGTGATATCTTTGCCCATATGTACAAAACATTCTTGAGGTCCACTGTATGCTGGCTAGGAATTATAACAGATGTTGCTTTATTGGACTTTCAGGATTGGACTTTCATGAGGATCTGCATCGGATCGGGGCGAGAGAAGGACTGAAAGGGAGGAAGCTACAGAAGGCCATGGAGAGTTACGCTTGGAACATCACTGTGCTGAAGGTTTGAACCTATTCTTTATGTTATGGATTGAGGCATGTATACACCAGGGCCTTATTTAGCACAAGGTAAAACACTTTAGTATAGGGGATAATCATTACAGGGTTGCTAATAGGTTTGCATTCAGTGCAACTACTCAAAGTGTTTCCTGGTTTGCAGCTGAACCACAGTCAATCAGATTTCACGCTAGCCGAGGCCACAATTAAATAGCTTTTGTCCTGACATCGTTGTGTACCTTACAATGGCTGAAGTTGAAACTACATGATCCTTAAACCCGCACCCTAAAGCCGTGGAATTACAGAACATGGTAATTTATAAAATTATATGTTTGGATTTTTATGAAAGATATGAAAATAAAAGTCTGTAGAGCAATCATATGGTTATGGTTGCTATTATTATTAATACAAATGTGTCGCCCAACATAGTATTTACCTTAGTATAGGATCTTTATATTGAAGTCCGTCCTGTACTCTGCTCTTTTATCTCATTGATTGGTACTAGGAGTGTCTACTATGCAGCTTCTTGTAGCTTTCAGGTAATAAAACATTATTTATGGTGATATAAATGATAAATGGTGGTTTTTAAAATGCTATGCTATTTTGTATAAATAAAAATACAACACTAAATGACTTTTACGTTATATATGGTATTATAATTCAGAATATATAGTATCTTTAAAAACACAAATAAAATAAATATTTACACATTCAAACATTTGGAGTCAGTAAGATTTTTTTTTTGTTTTTTTTAAGAAATTAATATTTTTTTCAGCAAGTATGCATTAAATTGATCAATAGTGATAGTATAGACGTTTATTATGTTACAAAACATTTCATTTTCAAATAAATGCTGTTCTTTTTGACTTTCTAATTGAAGAATACTAAAAAAAAAAGCATAATGGTTTCCAAGCAGCACAACTGTTTTTCAACATTGATAATAATAAATGATGTTTCTTGTGGAGCAAATCAGCACATTAGAATGATTTCTGTAGGATCATGTGACACTGAAGACTGGAGTAACAGCTTTCATTAAATGTTAGATGATGGTAATATATATTGTAATATACTATGCATCTCTAAACAGCAGTCAGCTTCCATATACTGTAGCACATGGAAAGACAGTTAACCTGTAATGATACCCCAGGTATCTTTTCAGTCTTACTCATTATCCCACCAACACTGTGAAAATTAATTTGTGCAGATTGCTAACAACATTGTCAGACATCTTTATCTGTAGTCCTGGCAACATGGTAAAACAAAAGAACTGTCCATAACTTGAAAATATCTACTTTTTTTTTGCCCCTTCTTTTCAGCTCTCACTCTTGCGCGCTCTTTATCTCTCTGGAGATGTGTTTATATATTTGTGGTGCTCATGATCAGATAAGCTTCACCAAAGTGCCATGTTTCCTAACAGATTAATTGTGTCCTTACTTGTGCAAACAGATAAACCGCACACAGTGGGAACAAAGATTAGGAGATGTCACCTTTAGCGTTAATGAAAGTGTCAAATTGCGGAACAACGGTACGGATGTGTGTCTGGTCTAGTTGTAGATTTAATTTCACTGTCATTGGCAATTCACTCTTGTTGAAATATCTACGTTTTAGAGTATTTAGTTGTATATTTAATGGGTGTTTTATGTATTTAGAATAGGTATAAAGAGTTTTTTGTTAAAATAGGTTTGTGTGTGTTTGCAGAGCAAGTATGCAGCACAGGTGGGGCGGATTGTTGTCTTAATTAAGTCTTTAATTTAATTAGATTACTTTAGACTAAAGCACTAAAGAGGCCTAAAACGGATTGAACTGTTTGCATTTCACAGAAACTCTACTGTTTGTGCGTCTTTGTATGTATCAGCCGATTTATTTACTTTTGTTCCACATGCACAGGACTGAATGCAATTACAGCCAGACTTGATATAAATCCATTTCGCAGCATTAAATAATGGTTTTTCTAACTTTTTGATTCAACTTTTTTGACACCCCCAAATATAACTAGGGGTGGGAATCTTCAGGCCAGACCGGTTTTGATTCTGGGAATTATATCCGATTGGAATACGTTTCTTGATCTACATTTTTTTGAATAATTTAAATAAAATTTATTTTATTTTGAATTTAATTAAATTACTTATATAAATACTTTTTAAAATAATTATAAACAAGTGTATGTTAGTGTATGTAACTAAATATAGTTTCAAAACAATATAATTATATAACTGTGAAGGACACACAAATTTTGTATAAATGTATGAAATTGAAAATCCATTAATACTGTGTGAAAAACATATTGTGTGATATTTAAAGTGTGATGTTAAAAGAATTATATCGTCACTGTATTATAGCTAACAGCAATTATAAAAAAAAATGTATCTTGAAAATCTGAATTATTAATAAATATTGATATCTGAATATTAATAATTGTGTAACATTAACAGAATATATTTTTTTCTACACTCTTTTATTTTATATGTACAATATATGTATTTATAAAAGTATTTATAAAACCCTTTCCACAGCAGTGTTTTAAAAATTATTGTATTAAATAAATGTTATATATTTAATGTATATAATTTATATATTAAGTAAATATTTAATATATTTAATACATTTTCGAAGTTAACACTTTAACTTTGTCATCTCTAAAAAATCTAGGCCTATATTTTTACATTTAGTTTTCTCTCAAATTTTGCACGGACCCCCAAAACGAATCATTCATTTGAAATATTTTGTGCTTCATTGTGCAGATTAACCACTTAATTTCATGCTTACTTTGATCCTGTGACGCATTTAGATGGGTTATATGAGTCCTGACTCCAGGAAGTGACATCAAACTGTCAGCCAGTACACTGAAGTGTTTCATCCAGGCTTTATAAAGTATGTACCACCTTGTCTTTCTGCAGTGCTCTTAGCCTCTATTCTCCCCACAGCCTAAGAGTCTATATGCGTCGCGCCCATATGCATAATTCATCCGTTTTAAAATATATCACTTATTTATGGCAAAAGACTCCTCTATCCAGGTCAAGGAGCCTCTTCAGCTCTGGGCACCCATGCAGGTGTCCTCCGAGGATCTGTGCTGGAGCACATGCAGGGAAAGCATCCAGCCACCTGTATTAGTCTCACCTGTCCTGTCCGTGTCTCATCAGGCCACATAAAGAGCGTCACTGCAGTCTAAATGAGTAAAAACGCAGTGCAGCTGATGTTGCAGTGCTCTCCTAGGGAGTTGTCATCACGTTGAGTAAAGTTGAATCTGTTTTACTCTGGTTAGGAGCGCTAGGTGACCTCATGATGCAGTTCTCCTGAAAGTGCTTGGGAGATTTCATTGGCTGGTTCATGTTTGAATCTTAAATTATAACTCAAGAGAAGAGAAGTTTTAGAAATTAGTCCATGCAGTTGCATCTGCTAAAATGGACAAATAAGCGTCAATCAGTCATACCTAAAAAATTCAATTTCCTTTGATTTGTTAAGGAAAATGGCAGTTGTGTCAAAGGCTTAGATTTGTACCAATGAAGAAGCAAGGCTGGGGAGAACTGGTGTCCTTGTAAGAAAGATATAAAGCAAATTTATGTGTGGTTATGCATGTTTTGCAGGCGAAGGTGTACGTGGTTTGATAATATGTCCTTGTATATTAGCATTTATTTATTATGTACCTTCAAAATGTCTTTTCACACACATAAATACATACATAAAAGCTTATAAATTTCCTGGCACACTGTTTTAAGGGACATTCACACAGGACGAGGAGACACGCTGTCCTGAACCTCCTCCCTCCCCCTTCCCTGTCCCATCCTCTCACAGTGTCTCTGTCCCCTTCATCCGCTCCCCTCTGGGCCGTTTCCAGAAAGAGAGCAGGAGAGGTTGATTTATGGAGGGTATTGGGAGGATTCTGGCTGTGCTGTGAATTTATGCAGTGTCACCGGCTCTATGTGCTCAGTCACCTTGTGTTAGACTGAACCCTGCAGGATGGACCCTTATATTGCATTTATGATGATGTTAAATGTAATTTTTTTATTACAAATATTTATTAAATATATTTTCAAATCTAGTTCTGGCATGATGGGCAATGTTTAATAATGGAAAAAAAAGAACACCGTGCTCTGCCCTGATAAAAGAAATTATGCAGTTTCTTCAACTAGAAAAGGCTACATTTTCAATGAGAGGGCCAGGCAGGTTTGGACAGCTTTTTTCCCTTAATAAAATAAATTAAAATCATAAATCATTTAAAAACTGCATTTTGCATTTACTTGCATTATCTTTGTATAATATTAAAATTAGTTTGATGATCTGAATCTTTTAAGTGTGACAAATATGCAAAAAATAAAAAAAAAACAGGAAGGGGGCAAAAACCTTTTCACACCACTGTATATATATATATATATATGTGTGTGTGTGATGCGTATGTGGTGTATTTTGAATAAGGAAAAGTGTGTATATTGTTTCTAAACTGGAAACTGGATATGTCCCGGTGAGATAGGCTCTACTGGAAAGAATAGAAACTCTGGGAAAATGCGGATCTCAGTCATTGAAAAAAGAACCACTGAGGATCAGACAAGCAAATAAATATTTCAATAAATGAAGAATTAATAATTTTAAGACAAAGTAAAGGACACTTGACCATCTCATTAAGGAACACATCACACCCAATAATACACCCTGTTCATGAATATTGTTATTACTGCTGTTAATATTGTGGGTAGGTGTTCATTAAAATGGAAGTTATTTTATATTTGTGTAAACAGGTGTCATTCTGTACCAGTTTTCATCGGTGGAAACTTCACAGGAAGAGGAAATGTGAACGGTTGGGAGACGAGGGGACCAGGGTGGAAAATATAGTTTGGGTCAAAGAATTTGGGTGTTTACTGTCACATTAATGTCAAATAACATCTGATTGATATGATGTCCGTCGTTTATAAAGCCCACATGGTGTTATATAAAAGCTAATTGACATCAGAAACGTCTCCAGGTCATTTCTTATACTTATGTTGTATTACATTTTCAAATATTTTGAGGACATAAGCTACTGTTCAAAAGTTTGGGGTCAGTACATTTTATATTGCTTCTGAAATAAGTCTTTTGCTCACCAATGCTGCATTTATTTGATCAAAAATTCAGTATGAACAGTACCATTGTGAAATATTATTGTAACTTCTTCTACTTTAAAACAATTTATTTCTGTGAAATTCAGCATCATTACTCCAGCCTTCAGTGTCACATGATTATTCCGAAATCATTCTAATATGCTGATTTGATGCTCAAGAAACATTTCATATTATTTTCAATGTTAAAGGCAGTTGTGTTGTGTATTTTTTTTGTGGAAACCGTATATATTTGTTCAGGATTCTTTAAATAGAAAGTTCAAAAGAATAGCATTTATTTGAAATTGAGATCTTTTGTAACATTATAAATGTCTATAAATGTCTTTAATTCATGACCCTACATTTTTTGAAAGGTAGAGTAAAGTTTTAGACTCAATGTGCATTCGTGAAATACATTTTGTCAGTAATGTCCTCTGGGAGTCAAACCCAAGACTTTGGCATTGTTCCATTACTCATGCAATCCATCACACATCACATAAACAGACTGTTCTTTCTCTGTGGTGAGTTGGGACGGTCCATCTACCTGTGTATGTGGTCATTAACTCTGACTGCTCTCTGACCTTCTGCTTCACACAAAGGCATCCTGTCATTCATATTCTCCTGCTGCTTTATTTGTTAGTGACACCGTGGCGTTGTTGCTCCTTTATTCCATTCAGCCTTTTGTCACTGTATCAGGACCCTCTTCATATCCAGCTAATTAAGTCCAGTCCTCGTCTCACACTCATTCTGTTGGAATTCGCTAACGAAGCTTGTCTGCCCCTCCACAATAGTCCTAAAGAGCTCTCCATACAATTACTTGGATACAGGCAGACACTAATGACAAAGATGCTAACAACCCTAACAGTTCTTTATTGTATCATAATCCAGCTTCAAATGAGAAACATGACATTGAAGATATAAAGGGGGTATATCAGCTGGTTTTCTTTGTCAGTCTAATTTATGCCTATAATTAATCTCGGAGGACGGAGGGGTGTGTGGCACCTGTGTATAAAAACACTAGTCCCGTATCAGAGAGTGAAAGGACCATCGACACTGAAGTCCATCAGATACATGACATTTGTCTACAACAAGACCGGGGCAGTAGCCAGACGCATGGACTGCACAGCCAAGGTAAGACCAGTCAGAAATTATTTCAGCGATTTAAAACTGAAGGCTTAAATTTTAATGGTTCCATCTGGGGATAATACATTTTAATTTGCAATGACATTCATGCTGATCATAAAGTTTAATTTGAAGCAAAAAATGATACAAGCTGCAGCTGCTAAAGAGTCATTTAGGCAGTCAGTGAACTTTCCAAAAGAGAATAGTTTTTAAAACATTTAACTGAAGGTTAACTCAAAAACACAGATGTTTATTTTTCCTCCACAATTATAGCAAAAATGAATCAACGAGCCTATTAGTAACTAGTGTTTGTATTGATAGCTGCCCACCCATAATAATTAGAGCTCAGAATTCTTGGAATAAAAAGAGTTTTATTCTATTGATATTTAATTTAACTTCATTAATTGTGTTGAAATGTTTCAATTTGTGCCTGCCAGATAATGGAAAATAATTTATTTTAGAAACGAATCAATCAGATAAATAGACACTGAATAGCAGGACAAGCCAGGCACAAGAACAGTTTCTTCTCTCATGCAAAGTTAAAATGTTCTCCCCATTGTGCAATACAAATATGTGCAATAACCTTATATGCATTTATTATCACCCTACATCCTAGTACCTGCCTACATCTTATTCTGTTCTATGTATAGCACACCTGTACATACAATTTATTTTATTTTTCAGTTTTGTTTTCTATTTTTTTTTGTTTATTTATATATACATATGTGTATTTTGTATTCTTATCTTATTTTTTATTATCTGTGTGTTGTTGTCTCTGTGTACTGGAAGCTTGTGACTATAAAACAAATGCCTTGTATGTGCAAACATACCTGCATCTGACCTGGCATCTCTTATTTATTTATTTATTATTTTTATTATTTTGGCGGAGTTCGCGTCTACTGAGGCTCATGGGATAAAAGGTTATAAACCTCAGATGCAAATATACAAAGTCAGCCGTATAGTGATTTAAATATCATTAGCCAGAAGGTCTGAACTGTTTAATTAATATTCAGCATTTATTGAATGCATCCTCTCTCTCCATCAGAGAGTTGAACTGCTTCTCTTCATGGCGCTGCTGGCGGCGCACCTGGCGCGGGACGCAGAGGGCGTGGCCACCTGCTGCTCGAGCGCGTCAAGTTCCTGCAAATTATACGAGTTGCTGTGCCGCGTGGGACGCCGAAACGACACGTCTGTCGCCAGGCATATCGGCCGCTTTAATAACGACGCGGCTGTCGGGATCCTAACGCTTGGCAAGCGTAATAAAGTGGGCGAGAGACGCGTCCAGGACCGCCTGCAGCAGCTGCTGCTGCACGGCTCGCGGAATCAGGCCGCGGGGATCCTGACGATGGGAAAGAGACTCGAGGACGGCGCGCACCTGCCGCTGCAGTATCTGATGCCCAGGCTACCGGAGGATCTGGACGCTTATGAAAGACGATGACACTTGTCGCTTTTTAAAACCACGGCACAGCTGTTCATTGGTGACGTTAATTTGTAGGCCAACACAGAAAGCTAATTCTTAATGAGGTTTTAAAACAACGTTTTTTATTTGAGTAGCCTACAAAAAAAGGTTTATGATTAACATTACGCTAATAAGAGACATACGTTTTTTTTCTAACGTAAGTCACATACAGTCATACCTCAAATGTTATTTTTTGGCTCTATAACGTAAGCTGTACGTGCTTTTAAAAAACCTATTAAACTCCTGAGGTAATCAAAAGGTCGAAATCCTTTCTCTTCCATAGTGAACAGCTATATTACCTGTGTCAGTGGTTATTAATGATGAGTATTTTATCACAGTTGTCTTGTTTTATAAAGATGGAGTTGTTAGATTGTAGTCATATGTAGTATGTTTTGTGGTCAGCAGATGGCAGACGATGTAAATATTGTGAAATAAAACACTGGCTTAATAAAGTTCAGAACAATTTTTTGGGTTTGGGAAATATATGAAAACTCACAAAGCTTCAATAAAACCAAGTTGCTTGAGAATAAAGCAGAACTACACACCTAAAGCTTGAGAAACAACTTTACAAACATTCTAACATGAAATGAATTGTCATCTTAACTAAGAAAATGCTCTTCCACAACATAGCAGAATTTAAAATATAGAAGACCTATGTGATATTTAATGGCTTTTTCTGATCATTTGATCCAGTAGAATAATCATGAACAGAAAATCGTACATAAGCACATGTGACAACTTGCCCCAGTATCATTGTGACAGCTTGTCTCAACCTGACACATTTTTGGGGAGATAATTAGTCTTTTCAAAGACCCATGTGTTCATCCCTCGACCCCCACTGCCTGTGAAAATAACACATTTTCAGATTGTTCCAGCAGCCTTGCCAGTACGTATCGACCCAGAGCTGGATCCTTTCAGATTTCATCCTTCTAGAAGTTCCTGTGTGTGTTGTGGGTGATGCTGCTTTTGTCTGGTAAGATATGTAAATATCTGTTCAGCACAGATGGCGGTTCTGCTTTCCCTTTCACACCATCTCTCTCTCTCCACCTAATTCTTGTTTCTGGTAATGTCACTGTCCCTTTAAACCCACTTCAGCCCTTAAAGTCTCTTTATTTGTGGTTTTAAGACTCAGTACTGCTCCCATTACAGTCTCTATAACTGTCACTCAGTCACTAGAGAGATCTGCTTGTGCCACATTAATTTGGTTATATGCGAAATATTTTTCTTCAGGCTTTCAGATAGATTATCTTCTCGAAAACAAATATATATTTGCATCCCCACAGCAGCAATCAGTGCTTCACTGTTAAGATAAATGCAGTCATGTCACTGTCCCTTTAAACCCACTTCAGCCCTTAAAGTCTCTTTATTTGTGGTTTTAAGACTCCGTACTGCTCCCATTACAGTCTCTATAACTGTCACTCAGTCACTAGAGAGATCTGCTTGTGCCACATTAATTTGGTTATATGCGAAATATTTTTCTTCAGGCTTTCAGATAGATTATCTTCTCGAAAACAAATATATATTTGCATCCCCACAGCAGCAATCAGTGCTTCACTGTTAAGATAAATGCAGTAATTATTCATTGTAGTTTGATATTTATATGTAATAATTATATTTGGAGATAGATAGATAGATATTGATAAAGATATTCCAAATAAAAAATATGAGAAATAATAGTAAAAAATACCTGTGTGAGTATACACATACACACGTTTTACAATGATTAAATTATGATAAATAATGTTTCTGAATTTAACCAACTGGTAAATTTTTTAGGTTCTTCAAGAAACTACATTTACTGTGATCTACTTGTGCCATTTTTTCCATTGTTACTCTTCTTCCTTATGAAAGAGAGTGGGAGAGCGAAAGAGAACGAGAGAGAAAGAGGGAGGGACAGAAGAGTAGAGAGATAGCAGTGAGTGGAAGAGAGATGCAGTAAAGATTGTGCACCTGCCTCAGATAGGACACAACAGATGAAAAGGAAGGAAAGGATGCAAAGAATCATCTGACCTCCTATTTGGACAACCTAAAAAACCCAACAGAGAACAGGAATTCAAAGAGACTTGTGGACAAGCTGTGTGGAGACTGAGGGGGACATTGAAGAGACACAACACAAGCAACAAAGGAAAGAGATGAAGCCTTGTATACTGAGCGGCTTTTGAGAGAAGAAGACAGAAAATCCCGCTGTTTCAAGAGAGAGAGCAGAGCAGATGTACCAAACTGATGGGCTGTAGAAAGTAAGCGCAATATCAGCACAAATTAGACAAACTTAACCATCCAGACATAGACTGCTGGGCGACAAGAATGCATCCTACCAAACTACAGTTTCCTGAGCTTAGCGTAGCGTCTGATTACTGCACCACATGCTCTTTAAAGCAGAGACACTGAAGATTGGAGTGAAACTGCTGCAGAAGGCTTTCAACTGAACTGATACAGTCCTTAACAAGCAGCCATTAGCACCTTGTATAAGGCAGCCTCCAACAGTTTGAACTTCAGACAGAATCACCTCACCTCTCTACTTTCTCTCGCTCTCTGTTCTGTATGTGATGGAGCTCTGAGGATTAGTCATCATGCCAGTGATGAAAGGGCTCCTGGCCCCTCAGAACACCTTTCTTGACACCATCGCCAAGCGCTTTGATGGCACACGTGAGTAATTCTGTCAGAGCTTTCATCCTCGGAGACACTGAAACTCTTTCTAATGCAGCTTCTGACCTCATACATAAAATGTGAAAAGAGTTTCAAGTTATTATAGGATTTACTAATATATTGAATTAGCTTTTGTTTTGTCAGTTTCATTTCATTTGTGCTTTTATCATTTTTATAAAATGTTTCTTAAAAATGTCTATCTTTCATTTATTTTATAATAATAATTATGTTACTACTTTTTTTTTAAATAAAACATTTTTGTTTTAGTTAACAATAACAATACTGTTTCAAGTTCTCAATAACTAGTTAAGAATTGTTAACTTAAAAGTCTTCAAAGGCTAGACTACATTTTAAACAAGACTTTTTGACATTTTTTGAAGCAATATGTATACATTTCAAATATAAATATTTTAAATAATTAGATTGTTAACTCAATTGTAAAATAAAAAAAATCCTCATGCGTAAAGATTAAAATCAGAATACTTGAATGACAAATACAGAAAATCTCTCTTGGGCTGATTTTATTTGCTGCAATATAAGATCTTCATCCTTCCACCATTATGCTGTTTTTTATGTTTATTGCTTGTACCTTTGTTCAGAGACTCTCTGTGGGAGTCCTTTGTTTTGTGACAAATTAAGTGAACATTTTAGGCAAATAAGAGCGTCTCATTAGGCTGTGATTACAAAAAGTATGGATATATCATAAGAAGTGCAGTATGAGTGTAAGCGTTTACTTAATATATGTGAATTCAGCAGGCAGATTCATGCAGAAATGTTGCCATCCTTGAAGGCTGAATGTCTTATTTTAGTGTCAGTAGGTCAGATGAGGGATGTGTTGTATCATCTTGAGAAATTGTACTTGGTAATGTTCTGTAGTCGTGCTTTTTTGCTGTATTGATAAATCTAGAATGAACAGTTGTATTTGAGTGTTTGTGTGTGTACAGAACTACTTGAAAAAACCCTGAAGTGTTATTCATTGCAAGAACGGCGCTCAGTGTTCAGTAGTGTGGGAGTTATGCTCTACGATTCTGTGCAAATACGAGCGAACAAATGATGGAGGGCAATTGATGATGGGATAATTTTATGTAAGTGGTCCTCACTCCCTCTCTACCTGCCATCATGTCTGTCGAGAGAACTCAAAGCACACCAAAGCCATGAAGGTGGGCATGACTAAACCTTGAATGTGAGATAGTGTGTGCTAAAGTGTTGAATTTACCATATCTGCTCTGAACTGACAGACACAGTGGTGTTAGTGTGTTATAGTCTGATCCGTCAATACAGGATATGGTGTAAGTCATGGAGTTTGTTCATCTCATCCAGTCATCTAAGGTTTACTCAACGCTTTGTTCACTGCACCCAAATCTGATTCATTTTTCAAATGAAATCTTTATGTACTCTCAGAAAAAAAGTACTAAAGCTTTAACTGAGGCAGTACCCTTTCAAAAGTTTACACCTACCTTATTTACCCGTAAAAGGTACATATTAGTACCTAAAGTATATATTAGTGCGTTTTGACAAGGTACTGAGAGTGTGCGAAGGGATGAAATCAGATGTGTTTGTTCAGCGCATGTGAATTTGAACACTGCTATGGATAGAATTTTGTGATGCAAATAATGCAAATACAAATAATACAACAATGCAAAGAAAATTCAGCATCAGATTTTAAACCACATGTAAATGTGGTTTGAACCAGGTTTGTAAGATTGGGTTTTCATATAGTTATTTTTCTGTTCACACTACAAACAACTAAATTAATTCAAACTGGATTCACTTTGAAATGTTAAACTTGCTTCAGCTGCATTCTGTGTTTATTATCTGCTGCGTGTGTGGCAAATTTGAGGTTCATTCAGCCCACCACATATACGTTTCACTATTGGTGTGAATACACCATTAATCGGTGACTTGTTTTGCTTTTTCACGTCAAGTTTGGACTGAAAGGACCTTAACTAGACTTTTCACTCTATGGTCATACAGATTCTAGGTACATTTGTACGTTTCAAACAGACAGTCACTAAGAATCTTGTTCTGGTCTAATAACAACTCGCACCATCTTCACCCAGCCTGAATATCAGATATGTTGAAGCATCTGGTGTCAGTCTTCCTATTTAGACTGTAAGGAGTCTCTTAATGAGCTCTCAGGAGATTTTGCCATCAGTAGTCTTTCACCTTCTCAGCACTCCTGTGTGATGAGGCTATTAAAATAAGAACAATTACAAACCAATGACAGCATCCACTCAACAAGCAGAAATAGTGATAGCCATATTATCTAAAAATAAGGCTTTTGCTTTCTCTCGTCCTCTCCTCCTTAGCAACTGCTTTTTCTTTGGAACGTAGGGGAATATGTCTCTGTGTGATGCTCTTAACAAAAGCAATGTCCTTAACTCACTGTACAGCCAATCATATAAATCATATGAATCATTCCCACTGCCGTTCCTGGGGACAGATTTTCACACTATGAAATGTCACGCTGATCATTTGCTCTCTCACTTTTCAGAACAACCTCCTGCTATCGTGTCACACCCGTCCTAAGCAACACGACTGTCTGTCTAAATTCAGAGTCAGTAATGTACATGTGTGAGTGAGAGACGTTGAGTATTTGTATGCCTCGGTATCACCACCCTTCTCTCTCTCTCTCTTGTTTTTTCCCTTCTCCTTCATAATCGCTTAAATCACTTTTAATTAGCTGCAGCAGACTAAAGATCTGAAGAGGATTGTTAGAACAGAGAGGTGCTTGACAAGGCCTTAAAGGATCCATGTCCTGTTTTTTTAGCCTATACTTCATTAAAACTATTGTTTTGATCATGCATAACTGTCTATATCATAAAGTAGCCCGAATGTTTTGGTTTTGCCGAAATAAATGTTTTAAGCCTTTCAATTCGACCTGAATACTGTGAAGTGACACTTGAGTTAAGGCCTTAAAATCCTTTAAAGACTTTAAAATATCAAGTGTGGAAGTTTGCAAATGGTTGGTTTGCATGTTGGCAAAAAATCCAATTTGATGTTCTACAAAACCTTGAGCATGTTTGAATCACACTAGTATGCATGAAGGCAAAAGTGATGCACATAATGATTTGTTTAAAAATATATAATGTTGGGGGTTGGTAAGTTTTTTATGTTTTTGAAAGATGTCTCTTACTCTCACCAAAAATGATATATATATTAGATATTATGATTTGCTGCTCCAGAAACATTTATTATTATTATCATCAATGTTGAAAACAGTTGTACTGCTTAATATTTGTGTGGACACTGTGATAGGAAGTTAAAAAGAACAGCATCTATTTAAAATGGAAACCATTTATAACATATATATGTCTTTACTGCCACTTTTGATAAATTGTGTGCGTCCTTGCTGAGTAAAAGTACTAATTTCTTTCCATTAAACAAGAAAGTCTTACTGTCATGTCATGTTTTTTTCATAGCCTTGAGACTTTTTTGAGGTGCATGTTCAGGAGCATCCTGGCTATTACCTATAGTTTTAGCATCTGTGTGTATTTTATTTGCAGTTATGAGCAGCCTCCTCTTGGCAATTTAAGCCTAGCGTCATATATTCTCAGTTTCTCATCCTGCTATTTGCCAAGTATTTTTGTGTACAGTACTGTTAGTTATTTTGGAAGAACGAGCATAAGAGTGAAAATGTCACAGCAGGTATTTTGAAAAACCCATTTCTTTATGTGCGGGTGTATATTTTCCCATAGATATGAACCGGTTTTCACAGTTTCTATTAAAAATAAACTGTAGACACAGTTTCCTGGTAACCTCAGTGACAGAAATAAGCACACTGACATGTTTTTTTTTTTTTTTTTTTTAAATATATATTTCCATAGCAACCAGATACCAAGAACATCTTGCCTTAATACCACAGCACATAATGATAGTTTTCATAGCTGTCAGTTGCACAGTATCATCTCACCATCTTGGAAAGCTGAATCTGTCAAACCGTTGGCTTCTGCGGCATTAACAGTGTGTATTTGAATGGATTGATAGGGAAAAGACTGCATGTGTGAAGAAACACACACACACGGTTTGAACACCACTTTTAGTCTCTCTATAAAATAACTTGTGAATACAGTAACAAGTTCATTTGTTGGGTTAATGAATTTCATTTTACATGCACCTGCAGTAATCTTTCTGTGGCCAATTCTGAATAAATCACACAGAATGGAGTGTATTGAAAATCTGAAATAGCACAAAGTCTCCTGTAAGGGTAGGTTAATGGGTGGGGTTGGTGTAGGGCAATAGAATATACGGTCTGTACAGTATAAAAACCATTACGCCTATGGGATGTCCCCACTTTTCACAAAAACAAACCTGCGTGTGTGTGTGTGTGTGTGTGTATGTGTGTTATGTGTGTAATTTACACATTTTACTATCCCACCTAGTTCTGTATAACTAATTATTATATCAATAAATTCTGAACTAGGCCTATTTTGTAGTGTTGTGCACAAGCTGATGCCTAAAATGTTTCTGTGTAGAATTTAAGAGCGCAATGTTCTTTATAATGCTGGCTTCATGTCTGATTTTGGCCTTTTTTGGGCTTAGTCTAGCTCTACAGGTTGATATTAAGCATATTTTTGTTTTTGCATCTAGAATAGTAAAACACGCAGCATTCTTTCTAGCTTATCTGATACCACGGACAGATTCCAGCCTGTGATAGTGATAAACATTAAAAACGGGCAGACAAATTGGCAATCTCAAGTACAATCTTGTATGTCAACTGTAGCAGAATAATTTTTTATCAATAATATCATTGTATGAAATAATATTAGCAACAGATGAAGCAAAACCCTATCAGATATCAAGTGCCTTTCTCATATGTACGCATATCAGTTCAGTAAGTGTATGACATCCGATCCCCCGAATAGTTTATTTGCTCATTTAGGAACCTCGATCGCTTCATATTCTCATGCTCTGGTTCATTTATTTGTTCATTATGTCAGTGGCGCAGATGCAGCACTCACACTAGGCTTGTTCTGTGTGCTGAGGTTGATGGTGTGGTCATGCATCTAACTTAAGCTTCATTTATAGTTTCTCTGCATCAGTGCTGTCTATTGATTCTTACACAAGCAAGGAACAATTGAACGCATGGATGGATGGAACGCTTTGTGTAGATGTGTAAAGTGTAACATGATATGGATCAATTACATGTTGTTAACAATGTTTACTAATGGTTTTCCATTAAGATTATTTATCAAAGCTCATCTGAATGACCAACTGAGTGGAAAAAAATGATTTTGTGTGTGTTTGTTCATTAATGGAGATCAATTACACAAATAAACAGAGTTTTGATGCATATGTTATTTCCACTTGTCTTTTATAATAGTTTGTTTACATATTCAGTAGCATTAGGGAAAGAGTGCTGCCCAGTTTGGGGACCAAAATATTTAGCTAAGTCTGTTTAGGATCCAGAACTGAGGCCACCATAATACTTCTTTTTATTCATACACAGGCACCCACAGTCAATCCATTCTTATGTAATCTCCACCCCTGCAAAACTTAGGTGAAATGAATAGCAGAGTTGCCATGGAAACAGTACACACATCTTTTAGTTTTCTACCAGTGATCTAAAGAATTCGGAATAACACAGGGAATCTATAATTAGCTTGCTAATGAGCAGGCGAGAATGAGAGAGACCAAGATTTCTGACCGAAGTCGATGGGGTAATTGTAGAAGAACCTTGCTGGATGGTGAAATCATGCTGTAGAGTACTGCGGTATATGGCATACAGTGTTCTTTATATGATAATGGTGAACATCCTGAATTTATTTTGCAAAGTGGGTGACTTTTTTTACATCTCACCGTTTTCCAATTCTTTCCTTTGGTACAGACAGTAACTTCCTGCTGGGAAATGCTCAGGGGAGTCGCGGTTACCCCATCGTGTACTGTTCGGATGGGTTCTGTGAGCTCACTGGGTTTGCACGTACAGAGGTAATGAAGAAGACATGCACATGTCAGTTCCTGCACGGACAGGAAACAAGCGAGAGAGTCACTCAGCAGGTGGAGAAAACCCTGGAAGGACAGCGAGAGTTCCAGACGGAGGTCCGCTATTACAGGAAGAACGGTAAAGAACATTCATTGCATCTTTTGCAGAACTTCATAAAATGATAAATATAATAGTTTGGAATAATTATGTTTTTAAAAGTAGCCTCTTATGTTTACCGTAAAAAAATATGGTAAAATAGTAATATTACAATTTAAAATAACTTTTTGTTTATGTAATTGTGATGCAAAGCTGAGTCTTCAAGGCCACTTGATCCTTCAGGAATCAGTGTAATATGTTGATTTGCTGCTCAAGAAACATTTGTTATAATTAACAATGTTGAAAACAGTTGCTTAATATTTTTGTGAAAACCATTTTATGAATAGAAAGTTCCAAAGAACAGAATTTATTTAAAATATAAATCTTTTGTAACATTATAAATGTCTTTACTGTCATTTTTTGATTAATGTAATTGTAATTCGTTTTTTGTTTCTGAATGAAAGTCTATCACAGTTTCCAACATTGTTGTCAGCATTGATAATAATAATAACTGTTTCTAAGTCAGCATATTAGAATGATTTCTGAAGGATAATGTAACACAGAAAAAAAGAATAAATTACATTTGAAAATATATTACAATAGAAAACTGTTCTTTTAAATTGTAATAACATTTTACAATGTTACTGTTTTTACTCTATTTTGGATTAAATAAATGCAGCCTTGGTGAGAGACGACTTTTCAAAACATTAAAAAAAAATCTTAATTATTCCAGACTTCAGACCAGTAGTGTATATTTGTACTTCACATACTGTATCTGGAGCTTTCATAGTTTGCCTTCTGTGACTCCAGGTACCGCATTCTGGTGTCTGCTGGACATTGTCCCTATTAAAAATGAGAAAGGAGAAGTGGTTCTTTTTCTCTTATCCTTCAAAAACATCACTGACTTGTATGGCAAATCACATCCCAGCTCCAGCACAGAAGGTAACTGACTGGCAGTGAGCCTGTTTGATCCAAATAATAGTTGTTCTTTTATCATTTTGGCATCTTTATTTTTGACACTTTATATACTTGTTGTGTGTTTGTCAGAGGATGGTACTCACAACAGGAAGTCCGGTAGAACTCATCTCAGTCAAGCTCGTGAGCGTGGACGCAGCGTCCTGTACCACCTGACCTGTCAGTTCACCAACAGGAGCAAAAGGAAGCTGCCAAATGTAAGTAGATATGAAAACCAAAATCATTCTCACTCACCTTTTTGTGGAGGATTTAGTGTAGTAAATCAGAATCAATATTCTGATATAGCGACTGAGTATGTTGCACTTACAAGTAATGTGGTATCCAGTTAATAAACTAATGAATAATTACTGAGTACAGCCTATCAAATATGCTTGATTAGCACAATTGTAGAAAAAAAACTTTAGAGAATGTGTAAAATTACCCTGTCATCGATAGTTTTTCCAACTTTTAATCATAAACCTTCCAAAATGTTGTTCATTATATGATTACAAACGTACACAAAAAAACCTCAAAAACTTTAAGAAATATTTTCTGTGAAATAAAAGCGCTTCATCTTCCACAATTTTGCTTCTCAATTAGATTAATCTTGTTTTAAGTATATTTTTTCATGGAATTAAAATAGTGATAAAGAAAATACATTTTATCAGTGCAGCATGTAAAGATGAGATTCTTGTTCTCTGGCATTATGTTCTGTTATGACTGACCTTACAATCGGTTGACACTTTTAAAGAGTAAATGTCCTCGTGCTTCCAGCTATCAAGATGAAAGAGAAGTCTACTGTAGCTGTTAAAATGGAAAGGTCAGACTCATTTAATGTCTGGAATTCTGTTGAGCAGAATATTCAATATTTACGCCCAGCTGATGATTCTTACTTTCATAAACAACAGCCCTTTTGTTCAGGACAATCAGTCCTCGTGCTTGGAAAAGAACATACCGTTCACAAAATCCTTACAACTCACTGAACACCTACATTGTGATGTAAATGCCTTTTAATAAGTTATATGTAAACAACTGGCTTTACATAAGAAATCCCACACTCTCAGAAATAAAGGTACAACAGCTGTCACTAGGGCGGTACCTTTTCAAAAGGTACATATTTGTACCTAAATGGTCCATTTTGGTACCTTAAAGGTACATATTGGTACTTATTAGGACCTAATAGGTACAAAAGTGTACCTTTTGAAAAGTGACAGCTGTTGTATCTTTATTTCTGAGAGTGCATCTATTGAACTTTCAGTGATGAAGAGATGACTCACATTTGCATAAAAGCTACAAAAATTCAAATATATCCATGGAAGAATAAGAAGCTAGAATTAGACCTTAGTCAGAATGAAAACAATTCAAAATATGTCTTGAAAATATGTCTTTCCAGTAGGCAAGAAAGGTTTGGACTGTAAATGGATGTTAGCTATAGGGCTTCCTATAGGACATAAAGTCTCAAATGACAACATTTTATAGACAGAAAGATCTGAAATCAGAATCTCATGTAACAATATGAATTCATGGTAAAAAATATATACCATCTTTGAATGAACAATTGTTAAACTCCAAAGATTGCTCTTGTACTCTATGCCTATTTTAGTCGCTGTGTAAATGTATTCTGCTGTACTTGTTCTGCTCACTCACTCACCTTCATAGTAATAAGTTATAAGGTTCTTTCTGTGAGTTTGCAGTCTGTACTGAATGTGACAAAATAAAAAGAATAATAGCACAAAAGGTCTTTTATTTGAGATGTCCTTGTGAATTGCAAGCAAAAAAAAACATACAGCACGACCAGTGTAGCCCTTTCCCAAAGCAAGTCGATTCTTTTTTTGAATAATTCAAAAATGTGATTTGAATCAATATGAAATGCTGCCATGTATAGGGGAGAATGGGGTAAGTTGACCCCCCACCTGTATCTTGGAAACTGTACAGTTTTACTGTCATGTGACCATGTATTTTGGAACCACCCATAATTTCTGCCAGATTATGAAAAGGAGAAACATACGGGAGGAGTGGAAGGCACCCATTAAAAACAGTTTTTGGATTGTCAAAATATAGCTATTTTTATATATTTGTTTTTTCCTAAAATGGCAGATATGTGACAAAGTCAGCCAAATGCTGTGGGGTAAATTGAGCAAGCATTTTAACTTACCTCACCATAAGGCAGTGAAGTTAAATCTCTAAATCTTTAATGTGACATTATGCAACTGGTTTAGTTTATCACAATATATACATATTATTTGCAGTTTGTTTGCAAGCAATTAAATATTGTAATTTAAACTTTGTTTGGTTGGTTTTATGTTAAGCCAGCTTTAAGAAAAGAAATGTAAAAGGAAATTTGATTATTAAATTAGTCTGTAAAAGAGGTAAATTATTAAAAAATGTTCACGTAGGTTTGAATCAGATTCAGTCAGATTTTACACCCGGATGTATTTTAAGAACCATTTGTCATAGATACATTTTGATCATTTAAAATGATAGGAAACATCCTGAATTTACTTTAGATACTTCATTGTACTTCTACTTATTTTACCTTATCTTGAGGACCACAAAAGTAAAAAATGGCTCATCTTACCCCACTAACTTATAGCTTTAGCAGAGGAATATAAGTGAAATATACTCAAATGAATCTGAATCGAGAGCTTTTGAGTCAGAGTCCTGGAACTGAGGACATTCTGTCTTGTGGTGAGGTACAATTAGCATTAAGAGTTGCTCTGGCATTTCACAGCAAATGTTAAAGGGGTCATATGATGCTGCTAAAAATAACATCATTTTGTGTATTTGGTGTAATGAAATGTGTTTATGCGGTTTAAGGTAAAAAAAACACATTATTTTCCACATACTGTACATTATTGTTTCTTCTCTATGCCCCGCCTTTCTGAAACGCGTCGATTTTTACAAAGCTCATCGGTCTGAAAAAGCGAGGTGTGCTGTGATTGGCCAGCTATCCAGTGCGTTGTGATTGGCCGAATACCTCAAGCGTGTGACGGAAATGTTACGCCCCTTACCATATTGTGATGATGCCCTGTCAGGCCGGAGCAATGATTCAAAAACATGAAAACCCATTATAAACGAGGCATTCGTTGCATCCAGTGGGGACATAATTATGGATTATAATGACTTGTACTGTTTTTTTACGCGTTGCATCGCACCGCCTAAACATAAAACCATGTCTGCATTCGTGATCGGAGAAATGACAAACAACAAGCCCTACTCTACACTGCCCAAAAAAACTTGCTTTAAATATATAAAATATAAAAACTCTTTAAATATAAAAAAACGTACTTACAGTCTTTGAGTCAGAACAGCCGGCGTTGTAGTCTGATACTCTCCCAGGATCAGTAAACAGTCCTCCATAAAATGTGCTGCACACATCTGAATATTTGGGTTGAAGTGTCCTGAAACAGTGTTGTAAATACAACTTAACGACTGATTTCTAGTCGTGTCCTCTTTTGGAAGGCCAAACAAAGTAGTTTCGCTTTCACAATGAATCACACAGTGCCTTCACGACATGGCGGCGGCGGCAACAATACTACAGCGAGAATAAAAGTTACGCCTTCTTTCTTTGCGTGAACATTTGGGCGGCGTTATGCAAATCTTCCCACATAGTGATGTAGATATGTGGGGGCGTGTTAGAACGAGCCGTTTTAGGTAGGTGTGGCTGACTCTTAACTTTTATAAAGAATATCTCTTTGGATTTGAGACTTTATTCTTTGCAACTTTACAGATCTTCTTTATGCACCAAGAGCTTGTAACACTCCAAAGAGAAAGGAAAAATTGAAATCGCATCATATGACCCCTTTAAATGTTCCTGCTGTGTGTCATTAGATGTTACCTGCACCTTTTCTGAATGTCTCAAGCTGTTCAAATATTCTTTCTGAATACTGCAGGTGTTGAGACTCAATGAACATGTATTTCAGCTGCATTCAGGAAGCATAGCAAAAGTTAACTACAGTAAACCTTCTGATTTGTTGCAAATGCCTTTCCAGTCATTTCTGGGCAAATGACTGAATCCACATTTAGCTTTTTTGCACTCACAGACATGAAAAATCAAGCACATCCTTCTATGAACTGGCAAGCGGTGTTTGATATCACCATGTTTTTTTAAGGCACCAATTACTTTTTTTTTTATGAGAAATATGCATCATTTCCATGAAGATGGGATTCTGTGAGATTTGTTTTGGAGACTTTTTAGCCCTTCTGTGAATATCTTCATTTTTAGTCATGAAAAAACGATGGTTTTGCCTGTTGGAAACTTCACCAGTTCAAAACTTTAGCAGAAGGTCAATCTGTAGTAGCAAGGTACACCACTTCTGTCCGTCATAACCAAATGTTTTTAAAGGTTACTGGTTCATGCTTAATGTAGCGAGAAACAATTTCTATTAGGCTACTATTCTTTTTCTTTTTAATGAGGTGACAGCATGTGCACATTGCACATTTGGGCATGCTGGGTCACCAGTTAATTTAAAAACTCCAATAACATGGGCACAGTGTGGCCCACATCCATACAAAAGACGTAGTGAAAAATATATTTGGATCAGCCGTGATTAAAGTTAGAATACTACAGGCTATAAGGCTGAATTACTGAGAAGAAATTGAATGCGGCTTTCATGATTTATAACAACACTCGAATCACCAACTGCTGAGAAATAATTTGCCAGCGCATAAAAAAAGAAATGCTTCCGCTTAAGAGGCTCTTAGTAAAAATGATTATATCCTAGTTTCGAACTACTCGTAGTGTGTAAGGTTTATAATTCAAACGCATGTTTGAAACAGAAATAAAAAAGACTTTTCTTTTCATGTTTTTCACAGCATGTTTTTTCACAGCCAACTCTCCCGGAATACAAGGTGGCATCGGTGCAGAAATCCCGCTTCATTTTACTTCATTACAGCGTGTGCAAAGCATTGTGGGACTGGTTGATCCTCCTTGCGACATTTTACGTGGCTGTCACTGTCCCATACAACGTCTGCTTCTCCGCCCCTGACGACAGCGAACCTGACAACCCGGACTGTGACTCCTGCACCTCCAGAACCACCATTGTCAGCGACATAGCTGTGGAGATGCTCTTCATCCTCGGTGTGTGGTTTTGTAGAAAATTGTGTCCTATGTCTCCTTTTTTGTGCTTCATTTCCACCTCTTCCACCACCATTTTTAAACAGTGTTAACTTCCGACATCTGCAGAGCTCAGAGCTGCTTTCACCTTAAACATGTTAACAAAGTGACAATCACACCCTCATTTTTCAAATCCACTCTCCCGATATAATCTGGTTTTTACACAACAGCATACAACAAAATATCTTTTTATTAGAAAAATAATAATAATAATAATACGGAAGCCCCACTGTGACCTGAAGCAAGTGGTAATTTAATAAACCTCATGTACACAGATGTGGTAAAATAATTGGTTGATTGGACTAAATGTACCATCGAATTAGGATCTGCACAGAACAGGATTCATGAATATTTATTCAGTCCAGCATGTACCAGGCTTCATCACTCCAATTAGCATGTTTTTAATATTCATGCTTTCACAGTCAGTATTTATGTTTGATTGAAAGGGCACTGTTTGAGGGCTCTGGTGAGAAATATTATTCTATTTTTGAATGCTGTAAACAAATTATATTTCTAAATCCGCTTGCTTTTTTGTTAATTTGTTTCCCTAGATATCATTCTGAATTTCCGAACCACCTATGTTGGGCCTGCGGGTCAGGTGGTTTATGATGCTCGCTCGATCTGTTTACACTACTGTACTACCTGGTTTGTCCTGGACCTCATCGCTGCTCTGCCCTTTGACCTGCTCTATTTATTCAACATCTCAGTGGTGAGAATGCATATTAAACCTTTAAATACTATAAAATATGGTTGTTCTATGCTGTGTTATGTCATTTTGACATTGCTATTGTGACTCATCTTATTTATTAATCATACTTATTGTATATTACAGTAGTGGTTTCATGCAGGGTAAACCAAAGTTATACATACAAATTTAAACCTTTGACTGAGAGTTGATGAATTCCCTTCTGTTTATTGATGTTTCAATATTTATCATCATTTTCATAGTGTAAGGCTGCACTAAATGTGTAATTTATTTGATAGACTTCCCTCGTGCACTTGTTGAAGACCGTGCGTTTGCTGCGTCTGCTGCGCTTGCTGCAGAAGCTGGATGGTTATTCTCAGTACAGTGCTGTGGTCCTGACACTGCTGATGTCTGTATTTGCCCTGCTGGCACACTGGTTGGCCTGTGTTTGGTACGTCATTGGACGCAAAGAGCTCGCCAGCAATGACCCCCTGACCTGGGACATTGGTAAGGGGCTGGATGGTTTCTCTGTGTATTAAGATGCCAGTTAAATTCACTGCCATTCAAAAGTTCAGGGCTCAGTAAGATCTTTTTTTCTTTCTTATTAAAAAAGAGTCTTAATGTTCTTTAAGACTGTGTTTATTTGATCAAAAATACATTAAAGCAGTAATATTGTAAAATATTATGACAGTTTAAAACAACTGTTTTCTATTTGAATATATTCTAAAATGTAATTTATTCCTTTTTCAGCATCATTACTCCAGTCTTTAGTGTCATATGATCCTTCAGAAATCATTCTAATATGCTGATTTGATGCTCAAGAAACTTTTGGATGGTGGTCAGTGTTGGGAAGGTTACTTTGGAAACGCAATAGGTTACGGATTACAAGTACCCTATATTTAAAATGTAACAAGTAGTGTAACTATTCCAATTACTTTAATAAAGTAATGTAACTGATTACATTTGATTACTTTTTGATTACTTTTCTACATTTCTAATGAATGTTTCCAACTGTTAATCATTTTCAAACATTTAAAGCAGGCAGAGTTAACCTTACAGTAGTACTCAACACTGATTACTGTCAGACTTTCAGAATCCTTCATCGCTTAAATTAAGATTAAAATAATTGAATTTTAAAGTACAGCCACCACAAAATCAGACGTTAGCACCTTTTTACTTGAGGTTAAATACAGATTTAAAATCATAAGATATAGTTTAATAGTTTTGATACTGTTTTTGAGATCAAATCTTTGCCCAGCTATGACAGGAAACACTGACATCTAACAATGCTTTGGAAAAAAACAGTTAATCTTAAAAAAGGAAAGCCTATGCAAAAACCCAAATAGGAAATAAAACAGTTATCAAATAAGCATGTGTCCTAAACTCCTGAAACATTGCTGTCTCATATTTTAAAATAGTCAATACAATTTGGGAAAGAAATCAATTAAATCTGTATGTGTGTGAAAATATTCAAATGTAACCCCCTTTGTAATCTTTACCATTTTCCTAAGTAACTGTAATTTAATTGCACATTTTTCTCAGTAACTGTAACAAATTACAGTTACATTTATTTTGTAATTAAATTGTTACATGTAAGTTACTTAGTTACTTACTTACTTAGTTAGTTACTCCCCAACACTAATGGTAGTGTATATCAACAGATTGCTTGTCTTTTAGATCACTAACTTTTTAAGTCAATATGAAGATGATGTTTCAATCCCCTATTTGCTTTTTCATCTATTTCCACTGTTCCTGTCCTCTGTAGGTTGGCTACAGGAGTTGGGCAAGCGTCTGGAGACTCCTTACACGAATGGTACAGTTGGCGGCCCATCTTTGCGCAGCGCCTACATCGCATCGCTCTACTTCACATTGAGCAGTCTGACTAGCGTCGGGTTCGGAAACGTCTGTGCCAACACAGACGCTGAGAAGATCTTCTCCATCTGTACCATGCTTATCGGGGGTGTGTTCACCAGCGTGTTTCAGGCCTAATGTATAATTAGCTTGTTTGTAGGTCAAGAGAGCCTCATTTTGGTAAACATTTATTTAAAAAAAGTTTCATTTCAGAACGTTCGGTATCTAATTTAAGATGTAGAGCATATTGTTCACTGACATGACTCAGACAGCCAATTATTCAAGACTGTCTCGCATTTTTTTTCACAGCCCTGATGCACGCAGTGGTGTTTGGAAACGTGACGGCCATTATCCAGCGCATGTACTCCCGCCGTTCGCTCTACCACACGCGCATGAAGGATCTGAAGGACTTTATCCGTGTGCATCGCCTGCCCCAGCAGCTGAAGCAGCGCATGCTAGAGTACTTCCAGACCACTTGGTCTGTCAACAATGGCATCAACGCCAACGAGGTGAGACCTTACAAACCATGCCATGACATGGAGCATATGACTGCAATGTTTACACGGTGCCATGACAGTTTAATTCACTTGCTTTATCTTCAATATTTAATCGAGTGGAGGCTCAGGTCGGTTCTTTGTTTTTATATAGAGCGTTTTTAGAATAAAGTGTTCTATGGAGTTCAGTGCATAGCAATATAAAGGGTTATATATAGAACCCCAATTAAGTTTTTTTTCTAAGCGTGTAGAAGTCCCCATCAGAGTTTGATAACATACTAGTATCATCAGATGGAGAACAATTCATGAGCACAGATCTGGGTCGCAGCTACTTTCAATGGGCTAATTATAGCTTCCTGAGACATTCACTAATGCAGAATACTGTCATTGTTAAAGCAGTGGTAATTGGATTGCCCACAATGAAAAGACCTATATCTAATTAAAAAAGAAACAGGAAGATCTTGGGTGCAGTGTTGGGGAAGCTACTTTAAAACGGTTATAAGCTACTAATTTAAAAGTAGTTATACTAAAGGTAAAGCTATTCTTTTAAAAACCCCTTAGCTATTGTGCACTAACAAAAAGTAGGCACTACTCTGTTTTTAAGGCAGTTTCAAGCCTTCAATGTTTTTTAATTTCATTTTATAAGCAAGGACATGCATTTGAAGACTTTATAATGACATTTATAAAACGTGAAGACATTTATAATGTTAAAATAGATTTATTTAAAATAAATGCTGTTCTGTTGAACTTTCTTTTCGTCAAAATATTCTGAAGAAATGGTTTCACCAAAAATAGTAAGCAGTACAACTGTTTTCAACAGACGAGTAAATTAAAATGACATTTTAAAATATATTTAAATAGAAAACTTTTATTTTAAATTGTAATAATATTTCACAATATTGCTGGATTTACTGTATTTTGTTCAAATAAATACAGCCTTGGTGAGCATGAGAGACGTTAACATTAAAAAATCATACTGACCATTAACTTTTAAACAGTAGTGTATATAAAGGGATCACATATATTTTTATATAATCCCATATCTTTTCATATGATCAAAGTAAATCATTAGAAAGATAGTAATATAAATTAAATAAAACTAATAAAAACAATCTGATTTTTATTTTCAAGTTGGCAGATCGTAAACAGTGGCATTTCGGTACAAATGTACAGAAAATATCCATTTAAAAGAATCTGTGAATCATTCTTTCGAATTGATTTAAATGAACCATCTGAACTGATTGACTAAAAATGAATCAGACTTTTCCAGTGCTAAACATGAGAGAGGACCATTTAGAAGAATGTTTAATGATTTCTTTAGCTGTAAAGCTTTGTGCGTAAACCAATATTAGGGCAAAAGTAGCATGTTGCAGTAAAAGCTACATTATCAGCTACAGTCACACCACTAAAGATGAAGTTTAGTAAGTAGTACTGCTACATTTAGTTAGTTAGTCCCCAGCACTGAAGCGTGGCTTAGCTCATTTACACTGATCTGATGATACTAATTTATGCAAACGGTTCACAGGAACCCATTTCATACAGTTACTGTACTCTGCTGATATTGCGTCTTGTTGAGATCATATGGAAAGACAGATGACGCACAACTAAACAGAGAGAACTTGATGCGAGAATATTAAATTATTACATGCAAATTTCTTGCTCGAAATGACATCAAAAGTAGATGTACTGTACATTTACACACCAACCACAGCTTTTAGATGTTATCTTTGTTTGTTTTTTTTATATTAAGACACAGCCATGATCTTTACATCCCTCCATGGCAGTGTGGGTAATGTCCATTTTTTTCTTCCTGTCTGTTAGCTTTTACATGACTTCCCAGACGAGCTGCGGGCAGACATCGCCATGCACCTGAACAAAGACATCCTGCAGCTGCCGCTCTTCTCCTCCGCCAGTAGGGGGTGCTTGCGTTCACTATCCTTGCACATTAAGACCTCCTTCTGTGCACCTGGAGAGTACCTCATTCGTCATGGAGATGCCCTGCATGCTCAACACTTCGTCTGCTCAGGGTCTTTAGAGGTCCTCAAGGACGGCATGGTGCTTGCCATACTGGGTATGTTATATAGACATATAAACAAATGCCTATATAGAAGAGGCTGTTTAAGGGTGTTACCAAAACAGTCACAAAGTGAACCAATTTGTTTACCCAAAAATGAAAATTACCCCATGATTTACCCTCAAGCTATCCTAGGTGTATATGACTTTCTTCCTTCAGATGAGTACTATCAGAGTTATATTAAAAAATACCATGGCTCTTCCAAGCTTTATAATGGCAGTGAATGGGGGCTGAGATTTTGAAGCCCAAAAAAGTGCATCCAACCATCATAAAAAGTGCTCCACGTGGCTCCAAGGGGTTAATAAAAGCCTTCTGAAGCAAAGCGATGTGTTTGTGTAAGAATAATATCCATATATTTAAAACTTTATAAATAGTGCTGGGCAAAGATTAATCGCATCCAAAATAAAAGTTTTTGTTTATATAATATATGTGTGTATGTGTATTGTGTATATATATTATGTATATATAAATACACACACATGCATGTATATATTTAAGAAAAATATGTTATGTTTATATATTTAATATATTTCATATATAACATAAATTATATAAATATATACATGTAAATACATGTAAATATTTTCAAAATATATACTGTATGTGTGTCTTTATATATACATAATAAATATAACACAGTACACACACATATATTATATGAACAAAAACTTTTATTTTGGATGCGATTAATCGTGATTAATCATTGCCCAGCACTATTTATAAACTATAATCTCTAGCTTCTGCAATCTCTTAGCTCTTTTTTTGGGCTTCAAAATCTCGACCCGCATTCACTGCCATTATAAAGCTTGGAAGAGCCAGGACAATTTTTAATATAACTCTGACTGTATTTGTCTGAAAGAAGAAAGTCATATACACCTAGGTGACTTGAGGGTGAGTAAATCAAGGGGTAATTTTCATTTTTGGGTGAACTATCCTATCCTTTTAAAATCCAATCAATTTCCTGCAGGCAGTTTTTTCAGTCCATTTAGATCCAGCAGGCTAGATCTCGGCAAATCAGTATTTTAAAACAATTAAATGTTAGTAGCTGTCGTGGTTGATGCAGCTGTTGAAACTCAAACCAAATAAGCATCTGGCAGTCGGAACTGATAGATTGATAGATAATTAATTAAAATGATAAGCTTGGATCTGCACGTGTTCTGTTTATCTTAGTGCAATTAAATCAAACAACAGCTTGACTCGCGTGTACTAACATGTTTGTCTGGTGTACAGGTAAGGGAGACCTGATTGGCGCTGACCTGCCTGGGAAGGATCAGGTGATTAAAGCTAACGCAGATGTAAAGGCTCTGACCTACTGTGATCTACAGTACATCAGCGTCAGAGCGCTGCAGGAGGTTCTGGAGCTCTACCCAGAATATGGCAGCCGCTTTAATGAGGACATACACCATAACCTCACCTACAACCTCAGAGAGGTAAAGTGCCATGTGCAAATTACATCTGGAACTGATTGGCCAATCTCCGTTTTTGGAGTTTAAATATTTTTGTGACTATTAAATATTTTATATTTTTGTGACACATTTTAATGACCATTAAACCATTGTCTTTTCAATTGACTTTCTTACAATGCTTTGCTAGTCTCTTGTATCATTCAGCTGTCCCTTTCTTTTATAATCAATAATTCAATCTTAAACTGAATCATTATGTCATGTTCTTTTATCTGATTGGTTTGGGACGTATTGGTGCAATAACAGAATCACATATAATTAATTTCAAAATATTTAAATTAAAAAATTTTTTTACATATATATTCAGTATATACACTAACATTCAAAGGTTTGGGGTCAGTAAGATTTTTTATGTTTTCAAATAAGTCTCCTCTGCTCACCAAAGCTGCATTTATTTGATAAAAAATACAGTAAAAACTGTAATATTGTGAATTATTATTAGTTTAAAAGAACTTTTCAATTTGAATATATTTTAAAATGTCATTAATACTTGTGATGGCTGAAATTTCAGCAGGCATTCAGTGTTGAATGTTTAGCTATTACCATTACACAAGAAACTTAACTGCTGAAAACTGTTGTGCTGCTTAATAGTTTTGTTAAAAACTATGATTCATTTGTTTGAATTCTTTGATGAATAGAAAGTTAAAATAGAATGTCTTCTTATAATTAATTACATTTCAAAACATTAATTCATGTCCATTTATTTATTTTATTAAAACATGTAGTTGTTTTTTTTAAACATGTACAACTAATTAAAAGAAAATCAATATCTTTTACATAGATATTCAGTACATAGTTAGAATGTGCTTGTAACACCCTCGATGGTGGGGCAGCTAGGGGGTTGCAAGGGTCACCCTGGTGGAGCGGTCATTTGCGATGCAGTTGTGTCCTAATACCGCCTCTAACCAGCAGGGAGAACCGTGCTCTGATCGGCAGTGCTCATACAGCCTGTGGAGAAGCTGCTTCAGCCTTACATGCTTCGGCGTTGTTGCAAGTGCACCAGGCCAAGGCACTGAGGGACTTGCATGAGGGTGGTCATGACCTGGAAGTTCTCAAAGAACTACGCACCGCGATGGATCTCGCGCTACGAGCGACGAAGGTTGCGGCGCGGTCTCTGGGTCGTGCGATGTCCACTATGGTGGTCCAGGAGCGCCATTTCTGGCTGTGACTGGCTGACATGCGCGAGACGGACAAGACACGATTCTTGAACGCCCCCGTGTCCCAGGCCGGCCTTTTCGGCGACACGGTGGAGAACTTGCCCAGCAGTTCTCCGCTGACCAAAGCAGACTGAGGCCATCAGGTACATCCTGCCCTGGCGTGCAAATAAAAAAAAGGTTGCTGCCCAGCCCGTCTCGATGGCTCCTTCGAACTGTCAGACTCGGCTATGCGATTCAGTCACCCGGCGTCCCCCCAAGTTCAGTGGCATCCTCTTCACAACAGTGGA